GCTGCAACTAAAATTTAAGTACCAATAAAAGCTAAAAGTTGAACCTCCAGTTTTCCTTAGGCTTGCAACCAGAAAACAGGTAACCAACAAGATCTTCTTTGGTCAGTGGCTCTGAGGCAACGACAGCATCTTCTGTTGGAGGACTTGCAGCAACAATCACCTGATGTCCTCGCTTGAACTGTACTTCGACAGCATCCAAATTCAAACTTTTTGTAGCCTTTAAAGAATTCCATGATGACGGAGAAATGCCAAGAAAGATTCCCTTCGTTTTCAAAGCCTTCACAGAGTTAGCTATGCTATGGATCCCATTGAGTCTAACTTTACATTGTATTGAGTCGAAATGCATGCGATGTGATGAACCAGTCTGGAACATCACTGCCATCCTTAAAAGCTGAGAAGTCAAGTATAGAAACTATTAGAACAGCCTTCCAAACCAAAATTTGGTGCTTTAGATTAAATTGAGAAATGATGTGTAGTGGATAGTATATGTGTCACAGAATATCCGGGAAACAAAATTATATTGACTGGATCATGGTCAGCGAAATTATCATCGAATTCATAAACAAATGAACATTTAAATCTTGAGACACAATTTAAACCGAAACTCGCATTGAAGGACCTCAGAAACCACATAATTTGAAGTAATTACAATTTTGACATCCATGCATTCGCCCTTACTTCCCCCATCCCACCTGGACCAAAGAGCCATTATATGTTGAGGTCGTTGAACCACCTTCTCTGAGCTTAAACTGTTAGGAAGGGTACTAATTTATTTAATAAACTTTGTCAAAATGGTGTAAGCCAATTGATTTTTTATGAAAGAACTAATGAATGTCATAGTTTTGTATATGGGTGGTGGTCATACTTGAAACCGGGGCATTTGCCCATAACACGTTGAACTACACACTCTATTTCCAATCTTACCACAACCAATTTATGAAACTCATGTATGTGTCATGCCGTTGACGAAAAATAATTCAGCCTAATAACGGGCGTGTCATAGACAAAACTTAAATAAGGGTGTGTTTAATGGATATTATTGAGGAAAGAAAATATTTTAAATAGTGATATGATGAGAAATATGTAGTTAAAAAGTAAGAAAAGGTTATTGATGTGATGGAAAATATTATTTTATCGAAGAATGTGTGATTGAAAATAAATTTTAAAATAATGTATTTTGAAAGAATGAGTACCAAACGGGGCCTAAGAATATTCCTAGATTAAGCTTTCAGATGAGGTGTTTATCAAACTTGACAGGACTAAAATTTATGTTGTTAAGCTTCAGACACTGTAACACACAAAGTGATTCCGTTCGCCAAAATTTCCAAGCAATCAAAATGAAACCAAGCAATACTAATACTGAAATTAGCATTAGCTGGAAGACGCTCAAATAAAATTTTACAACCTTACCTTGGTTTTACGCACTTTTCTCTCCATAATAAAAACACAACCTTTCCAGTGGTCTTTCACGCAATAAAAATAAACAATCGACAATTACACAAACAAGAAAATTAAACTCAATTCAAAAATAAAGAAAATGATTTATGAAAACAAAAGTAGCTAACTTTTTATAAACCCATATGCAAAGAACAAAAAGTTGGCATTAATATCTCATATTTATAGAAAACCACAAAACATGATAAACTGTGTTAAAATTCGATCTCGAGAGTAATGGTAAACAGAAGAAAAATACCTCGGCTTGGTAATAACAGAATGAAAATGCCAAATTTTGATTTCATACTCTTTTCTTTGCACTCCACAATAATTACACAATCTTTCCAATAAATCGATAACTATACAATCAAGAAACTTGAACTCTCAATTAAAAAAGATACACAAAAAAAAGGGAGCTAATTATATATAAACCCACATGCAAAGAACAATATTTTTACATAAATACCTCATGAAAAATTAAAGAAAATCACCAAGAACTTGATAAACTGTGCTAAAACTTGAATATCGAAAATACCTGGAATTGATAACCCAGAACAAAAACACCAAGTTTTAATTTGAGCAAATTGTATGGAGAAAGAAGTGAATAGATGGGGTGCTCAAAAGGCCCTTTTTGTATTTTATCAAA